CCACAGATTTGTAAGTAGGAACGTCAGAGGAGATGTTCTGCTGACCTGGAACAGTGCAAGAACGGACAGCAGGTCTCCACAGTGGGGTGGCAGAGCCATCACCGCGCCAGTGGAACGAGAAGTGAATGCAGCCTTTCCAGCGCGAGAACACGTGCACACGTGTGTCAGGGAACCTCAGAAACAGGTCCCAAGACAAAAACCGGCAAGAGCACTTTTTAAAGAGGAACGTCCTGTTTGCTTGGTGCTAAATGGCGGTGGATAGGCTCAGCATGTTCATTAAACTGGGCCAAGGTAGTAGGTTCACAGAGGCCAAGAACCCCATCTGTTGACTGTTTCAGTCTTTCTCCCCTTCCCCTTCCCTTTGCAGTGCCGCAGGTAGCCAAGCCTGGCTGCAAACTTGGAACATAGCTAGGGATGACCTGAACTTCTGGACCTCCTGCTTTCTGGGTTATGTGGCACTGGAGCTTGAACTATAACCTGAGTGCCGTCCTGACTCTCGCTGGGAATTTTCAGTAGCTGCGGTGCTACAGAAGAATAGCATAACACTTAGAAGCAGCTAAGCTGAGCTCAGGGTCAGCAGCCAGGAATTCTAATCTAGTGAACCTTTTGCAGGAGCCATCACTGCCAGAGTCTGGTGGCGGTGAAGCATGCTGAGAAAGATTCTTGCGTTCAAGATGCTTCATTTATTGTCCATCCTATTTTCTTACCTAATGTGGTTTTACTTGGACAGGGCTGAAACGGGTGTATAAACAGTTGGAAGGGATCTATATTTGTTATAGTTGTCCAAATCAGAGTTCTTGAATTTCTCATAAATCGCTTCATTGTGCAGTTATGGCCTGTGTCTTTTGGAAGCCCCCATTTCTGCCTTTAGGTGTTGCCTTATGGTTTTCAGACCACTTTGTAATTCCTAGTGCTTCTGTTTCAAGGAGGAAGTTTTTCCACACATTGGTGGACAATATGGTATATTGCCTTAAATAAATACATACATAGATGATAGATAGATTATAGATAGATAGATTGATTGATTGATAGATTGAGAGATGATTGATAGATACATGATAAATAGATGACAGATGATAGATAGATAGATAGATAGATAGATAGATAGATGATAGGTAGATAGATAGATAGATGATAGATAGATAGATAGATAGATAGATGATAGGTAGATAGAGACATGACTACTCCTAGGTATGGTGGAGGAGAGGTTTTTTGTAGATAAAATGGAGGGCATAGTCAGAGGCAGGGACATCTGGGAGGGTCCAGAGTGAACATGGCCCTGAGCTACGTGAGGAGAGGGAGGTGAAGGTAGAGCCAGGAGAGTAAAGGTAGACAAAAGGGGCCAGGTAGACAAAACAGCTGGATTATATAGGGAGGGACAGCTGAGAGAAGAGCGGGACTGTAGAAGTTTAGGGGAGGGGGTGAGGTATGCCAACCATTCCCTGTAACAGGTAGGGACTGAGGGGTGCTGGGAGGATCCATGGCTAGGTCTGCTTTGCTATGCTAAATAGGCACCCAGGTTAGCCATTTGTCCCAGGTTGAGCTAACAGTATTACTTACAGCCCTGGTTAGTATTGTCTCCAGGTTGAGCTCACAGCCCTGGTTAGTATTGTCCCAGGTTGAGCTCACAGCCCTGGTTAGTATTGCCTCCAGGTTGAGCTCACAGCCCTGGTTAGTATTGCCTCCAGGTTGAGCTCACAGCCCTGGTTAGTATTGCCTCCAGGTTGAGCTCACAGCCCTGGTAAGTATTGTCTCCAGGTTGAGCTCACAGCCCTGGTAAGTATTGTCTCCAGGTTGAGCTCACAGCCCTGGTAAGTATTGTCTCCAGGTTGAGTTCACAGCCCTGGTTAGTATTGTCCCCAGGTTGAGCTCACAGCCCTGGTTAGTATTGTCTCCAGGTTGAGCTCACAGCCCTGGTTAGTATTGTCTCCAGGTTGAGCTCACAGCCCTGGTAAGTATTGTCTCCAGGTTGAGCCCACAGCCCTGGTTAGTATTGTCTCCAGGTTGAGCTCACAGCCCTGGTTATTATTGTCTCCAGGTTAAGCTCACAGCCCTGGTTAGTATTGTCTCCAGGTTGAGCTCACAGCCCTGGTAAGTATTGTCTCCAGGTTGAGCTCACAGCCCTGGTAAGTATTGTCTCCAGGTTGAGCTCACAGCCCTGGTTAGTATTGTCTCCAGGTTGAGCTCACAGCCCTGGTTAGTATTGTCCCCAGGTTGAGCTCACAGCCCTGGTTAGTATTGTCTCCAGGTTGAGCTCACAGCCCTGGTTAGTATTGTCTCCAGGTTGAGCTCACAGCCCTGGTAAGTATTGTCTCCAGGTTGAGCTCACAGCCCTGGTTAGTATTGTCTCCAGGTTGAGCTCACAGCCCTGGTTAGTATTGTTTCCCAAACTGAAAAGCACAGGCTTCAAGTGGGCAGAGCTGACTGGGATTTGGGGCTTTGTCAGGGCTGTGTCAGCGAAGGGGCTTCTGACAGTGAGGGCAAACTCTACTCTGTGAGGGAGTCAAGTGTGAGCCTGTGGGGTCCCCTTGGCCCTTCAGGAGTCCACAAACCCAGAGGCCCTTATTTTACCATTAAAGATCCGACTGGGCTAAGATCTTTTCCAAATACTTCACTCAAAGCCAGACATGTTGCTATGGAAAGAACGTAGAAGCAGACAGGAAAACCTTCATCTTCCACTCAATCTGACCGCTAAAGGGATTTGCAAAAACAAAGCGTTGCCAATATTCTTATTTGAAAAAACAGCTTTTCAGAACCATGTAGCATTTGTCTTAGGATATAATGGTGCTGCATTCAGCACTGCTCCGAGGACAGACCTGACAGGTGTGTGTGTGTGTGTGTGTGTGTGTCTGTGTGTCTGTGTGTCTGTGTGTCGTGTGTGTGAAGGAGAAGCACAGAGAAGCTGGCTCTTTGGTGGACCCAGCTCTCAGATGAAGAAACTTCAGCACTCTGCATCTCAGCGTGTTTATAATGTTGAGCTGAATAGAGAGGCAGGGTTGTATGCAGCTGAACAAGGAGGTAGGCTATTACATCCAAAGAAACAAGGAGGTTGGGCTTACCTTTCACAGCTGGACAAGGAGGCAGGCTTAGCTAATGTGGTTGGAGCCGTCTCTGCAGGGGACACCCTTAAAGCCCTAAGCATCCTGGTGAGGAAAGCTATGGTGGACATTTTCTGCACACACTATCTAAACCACACATGGATCCCAAATCAAGGCTTTGCCATTTCGCTCTGAGCCTCGCCAGGAGGGATTGAGTGGGGGGACAGGTGTTGGGGGGGCTTTGCTGTCAGTGGCGGGGGAGCAGGTGTTGGGGGAGACTTTGTCGTTTTCCCGTGGGTCTGAGGCTTTGCCCATGTCAGCAGCCCACGTTCACTCAGGACTACTCACTAGGGGCTTCCTACAGAATGGGGTTCTTACTTTCAATAAATAATAGCATGTATGTTTTAAATTTCTCAACTGTAGGCAATGGTGGCCCACACCTTTAATCCCAGCACTTGGGAGGCAGAGATAGGATTTCTGTGCATTCGAGGCCAGCCTAGTCTACAAAGCAAGTTTCAGGACTGTTGTACACTGTAGAAAGATGTATTTGCTGTGATTGGTATAATAAAAAGCTAAATAACCAATAGTTAGGCAGGAGGTATAGGTGGGCTTTTCAGTGAGAAAAAAGAAGAGGAGGAGAAATTTAGGTGCACAGGAGAAGCCAAGAGACAAGAGAGGAAACAGAAGATGATACAGGATGGAAGAGAGAGAGAGACCATACAACTTAAACTCTTGTATGTGGAAAAAACGTTAAAACCCTTACTGTTATTATTATTATTACTATTATTTTGTTCCCAGGGATTGAGCCAAGACCTTGCATGCGCTTCACTATTGAGTTACACACCAAACCTTCTCTTTTTTTTTCCAGGAAAGAGAACCCCACAGGGTCTGACTCCTCTTTTCCTCCCACCCTCCCTAAGTAGACGAGTTCATTGTTCTGGCTCTAGTGGGCTAGCTAATGCCAGTGGGGCATCCTGCTCAGAAAGCCATTGTAGAACATGCTACTTGTGGTGTGTGTGTGTGGGGGGGGGCAGGGATTTGGGGAACAGGGGAGGTCTTTGCTCATTAACATGATAATACAGAATTGTTTAAACCTGTGCTCTGTTGTCTGCCCTCCCTCACCGTCCCTGGGTTGGCTCCACTTCTTTCCCTCTGTCCTCTGTGTCCCTCAGGGATGCCCCAGTCTCTGTGTAGAATGGTGCGCTTGAGCCTACACACAGCTGCTTCTGTAATTAATATGGTATAAGTACTGGTTACACACTACATTGCCAAAGACTACAGACAAGAAAAATGTACATGGTGCCATTGTGATATCCTCCACCCCAAAGTTTTTGATCCTTGGTTGATTGAAACAAGTGGCTGGCTGTTTCTTTTTTTTTTTTTTTTTTTTACTGAACCCCAATATCTGGATTTTTATTAATTTCTATTAATCATGCTATAGGATGTAGTATCACCAATTTGGAGGCCTGATTGTATAATTACAGACTTTTTTGAGGAAGGAGAATGGGGAATAAACATCTGGGCGTTTAGGAATTGGAGGTGAAGTGAGCAAGACCAGAGCCCCATTTTCTTCCTATGTTTGTGTCATTCTGGTCACAGGCCAAAGAATGATGACAACGACTAAGAAACGTGGCAAGAAGAAAAAGAGATCAGGGTAGATGGCACAGGGAAAGAGGCCGAAACTCAAGATAATGATGGCAATGCACGTACTGAAAGGGAAGGCGACATGGTTTTGAGGATAAGAAGCTTGAAAGGCTACAGCTGAGTAGAGATGTCTACCAGGCAGATAGAGCTTGGATCTGTATCTTGTATCCTTGGGAATCACCGACCTGTAGAAATAGTCAAAGCTATGGACAAACCAACTTTAATCCTTTCTTTTTGGTGGGCCTGATACTAAGCAAGTGCTCTACCACTGAGCTATACCCTCAATCCAGACAAACTGTATCTCTCTTGCTTTTTCAGCTTTTCCATGTGGCCTATGTTTTAATCAAATTTGCAAATTCTCCGCGTCCTGATCTTTGGGTCTTGGAAAGATCTGTCGACTTTGGAAGCACCTACTCACCATGGCAGTATTTTGCTCGTAAGTAATCTTGTCTTCTGTGCTATGTGGGGCTTTGATTATCTGAAACAGTTTAAGACTATGGATTTAGTGTCTCAGTGGGACTCCTAAGTAGTCCTCAGAACATCGTGTTTCTCTGTCGTGCATGCCTTGATTCTAAGGACCCTCGTGCAGAATGGCGGTTGCACCCCCTTTTGTAACAGTTTCGCTCCTACCGGTGGGAGGCACCTGCAAGTGAGCTGCCACTCATGTTCTTCCCCTTTCACGAGGAATGAGGAACAAAGGTGGCTCTGTATGGATCCTGGGCTCCACGTTACTGATTTAGAACCCGTCATCTTTGCTAATGAAGTGTGTACGTGTCTCTGGACCTCATGATCAATCCAAGTGGCAGCCAGTTTCCTTAGAGGGTAAAGTTTCCTACTCGAGGCATGAGGAGTTAATAGCATATCTTCAAACACGGTTGCTGATGGCACTTGAGCGGAAATAGCCAGCCATTTCTTTTTCATGAACTAAAAACTTTATCCTAAGCTTTCATCTAGAAATCCAAAAGACTTTCTGGTTCTTTCTCCTAAGGAAACACAAGGCAAGGGGAGCGATCTAGGAGAAAAGATGCATAATTTGATAATGTTCAACTGTGTCCTTCCTAGATTCTCGAAGAGACTGTTTAGAACAGTTTGGGCAGGAAGCAAACATGGCTGTCACCCGGGATGACCAGCTACTCTGTGTCACGGAGTATTCCCGCATCGTGCCTCTGGAAAATGGCGAAGTAAGTGGTTTTAGGAGGCAGTCAGGGGAAGGACTAGAAAGGGGACAGGAAGCTATGACATTGTATTTCCCAGGAGACAGTGTAGATCAAGGTGGGGAGCAGTGCTTTGGAGGAAATGGAAAAGGAATCACACCAAAGACTCAGAATGAGTTGGCTTAGAAGTTCTTTTGGGGGCTGAATTCTTCCCTGGAAGTTAGAGTTTGGGGTCCAAGGTCCACCGGCTTCAGAATTCTCCCAGTGACAGAAGGTGGTGGGTGGGTCACTGGTAACTGGTGATGATCTCCCCACCTTCTCACACACTATTTCCAGGACTGAGGAGGCGGGGCAGGTGGTAGTGCTAAGCTAAACCCTGGTAAAGGGACCATTGTTGGTACGAGACACCCTAAAACCAAGTTCTCAGCAAAAAGGCGGCTTATTTACCCAGAGGGATAAAGGGCGGGAATAAGAGACAAAAACAGGAGAGAGAGGAAGAGGGAGAAGGGGAAAGGAACAATGGGCATTTGTCCTGTAGGAACAAAGACCCTCTCTGGATAGAGAGAAGACAGAAGTGGCCCCATAGGAAAATAGCGGTTTATTAAGAGAAATGGGGAAACCCATGGTAGGATGAGATGTTTAATTTTTATTGGGCATGTTAATTAGGTGAGCCAAAGGGGGCTTTTTTTTTTTTTTTTGCTGGAACTGAATACTTTGATAGCCAGACTTTGGTAGTCAGCCTCAGGAGGAGGAAGTGGACTAGACCTTGGGGGCTAGTTTTAGGAATGTAGACAAATGGTTTATAGCGAGGCAGAGAGAATGAGAGAGGACAAAGCCCATCAGAGCCATGTTTGCCATGCTTTGGCTGGCCGGAGTCCCTTTACCTGGTCCCATTTGACACCATATATGTCAGCTTTGAGGGAGAAAACAATTGTCCCCTTGGAGTTGCATCTGACCATGCTATGAAATCAGCCTGGCTGTTGCTATGCAGGGGGACAGACAGAGATGGGGACAGTCAGGGAAGAGTTCCATGGAAGTGGGGAGGCTGTGAGGAATGTAAAAAGACTTTCAAATCAACTCTGTTAGGAGTGTGAGATTTGAGAAACCCTGTCTCGAAAAACCAAAAAAAAAAAAAAAAAAAAAAAAAAGAGTCTCTATCCAGTATCTTCCATCTGGTAAGCAGTTTATGTTTCAAACCACTGAGGCTTGGACTTCATCAGCTGAGGCATGAAAACTTGAGTTCTTGTTCTGGTCCACATTTCTTCAGCATTCAGATCAGTGGTTCTCAACCTATGGGCTGCAACTCCTTTGATGGGACGGGGGTCAAATGACCCTTTCACAAGGGTTGAATATCAGATATCCTGCATATCAGATATTTACATTATGATTTATAACAGTGGAAAATTAGTTATGAAGTAGCAACGAAAATAATTTTATGGTTGGGGTCACCACAATCTGAGGAGCTGTACTGAGGGTGTTAGGAAGTTTGAGCGCCATTATTTCAGCTTCGTTTGCTCCATGCAGCTTGACAGACTGTCTTCCCCGTGCTTAGAGACACACCAGTCCCTCGCCGGCATTCATAGATTTTTCCCTCCACAGGCACCCAGCAGATCAGAGAACATCATCATAGAGATCAGGTTTAAACCAAGAACTAGCTGCTAGACCACGTCAGTATGTCCAGGGGCTCCTTAGAGAACCAGGTGCTTTGGGGGCATAGTGTCTTGTTATTGCATTTTGAGAAAAGGACTTTGGTCTGGTGTGTCCTTTTTCTTTTCTTCTTTCTTTCTTTCTTTCTTTCTTTCCTTTTCTTTTTTTAAAGGTGGTTGTATCCTTAATAAATGGTCGTCCAGGTGCAAAAAATTTTGCTTTCTCCGACACCCTGAGGGAGTTTACTAAAGCAACAAACATCCGCTTGCGATTTCTCCGGACCAACACCCTACTTGGTCATCTTATCTCCAAAGCAGAGCGAGACCCCACTGTCACCCGACGGGTGAGTAGCATTTTGTAAGCACCTAATCAGCTGTGTTTTGTTGCTTGTTTTGCTTGTCAAATAAGTTCAATTTTTTTGAGTATTTTTCCAAGCCTGTGATCATAGGCAGAGCGTGGTTCCTGTCTATAATAGGTATGACTATTTGAAGAAAAATGAACGAGGCCCAGTGCTGCAGATCTGTAATCCAGCTGCTAATGAACCAGGCCCTGTGGTGCAGGTCTGTAATCCAGCTGCAAATGAGCCAGGCCCTGTGGTGCAGGTCTGTAATCCAGCTGCAAATGAGCCAGGCCCTGTGCTGCAGGTCTGTAATCCAGCTGCAAATGAGCCAGGCCCTGTGCTGCAGGTCTGTAATCCAGCTGCTAATGAACCAGGCCTGGTGCTGCAGGTCTATAATCAGCTGCTAGGGAAGCTGATACAGGAAGACGTTAAGTGTAAGGCCTGGCTGTACTGTTGAACGAGTCTCAGGACAGCCTAGGCAGGGTAGCTGTCAATCTACTCAGTGGTAGAACCCTGGGTTCAATCCCAAAGATAAGAAAAATTGTTATATCCAAAAACCGATTGTAGTCAGTCTGGTATGGGTGCAGATGGGCTAAGTCTCGTAGTCAACAACCTCCAATGTCAGAGGCTAAAGAAGAGAAAAAAACCGCTTGTGTCTTGCTCATGTCACTGTCCAGCGTGTGAGCATCAGCAGGTGAACTCAGCGCCATGCGGTCACTCTGCGTACCAGGCTCCTTGTTTCTCACAATGTCTTAGTGTCCTCCTTCAGAATCTCTGCATCAGCAGCAGATGAACGAGGGAGGAAAGAGGAAACCCACATGCCCCAGGCTACAGAGGTCACTTCTGTTGGAAGGTCTTGCTGGTCAGAGGTTTCACTCCATCATGGCCTGGCAGCTTTCTCCAAAGCTCAGTGACATGGGGACTTTCTCCCCAGCAAAACTTCCTAGTCTCTACCTGCCTTTTTCTGGAGAATGTCCCCAGGCCTGGAGGACTGACCTTTTCTGAAAGCTGTCTCTAAACCTGGATGCCTGATTTATCTTTAGAAAGACCCTGCACAGTTCCCTGCTGGAAGCCGCTCCTGCTACACATATGATAAGTAAGACTTGTACTAGGAGCTTTGCTCTAGGACCCCGCTGTTACTAACCCAGCCTTATGACAGGACTGTGCCACTTAATGCAAATTAGAGTTCCTTTCAGGCTCCCCAGTCCTTTGTATTTCCTATACTCTGGAATAAAGCTGAATCAATTCACTGTTCATCTCCTGGAGGGCTATCTCCATCATACCTACAGTGATGTGAACCCTGTTCCCTGCTTCTGCTCCCCCCTCCATCATGGTCCAATGCACCATCGATCTAAAAGAAGAAACAGAGCTACAAATTCCACTCAGAAGATCTGGTTCTAGTGTAAACCCTCCCAGGGAAAGAGACTACAAAATGTGATCTAGTGGGGGAGAACCCATGGTGGCGCAGTGAACTCTGTACTCTGAGGGAGATGTACAGGAACATCTCCCATTCTCACGTGTTAGGATGGTACCCTGGCTTCTAGAGACAGGGGTAGGGGCAGTAGAAGAGGTGACCTGAGCCTGCCCTTCTTCTGCATGGTCCAGCCCAATAGGAAACCAGAGAGCCAGAAAGTCTATGGCTGCTGCCGATATAGGGAACAGCCCAAGGCGAAGGGGCAAGATCCACCTAGAAAGCTAAGTGGAAGATGTTCACTGTCCCTGCTAGAGTTGGGGCATTTTATGTAGTTAATAGCAGAGAGGTTGGAGGTCGGCAGCCTGGGAAATAGTCATGACAGTTTTGAGCATTTTCCAGAAAAGTCAGGCACCTTGTCTGAAGGTGGCTCATCTGCATTATGCTCTTAGCTCTTTCTGAACCCTGGGTAGGGGGGATGGGAACAGTGATAAGGATGAGCTGAGCTCTCTGGAAAACTGCACGGCCCCAGTTCACCACTTCTCTGCACTTCCAGTTGTCTTTGGAATTTGTCAAAGATAATTTGGCTTATCATGAGTGTTGCAAGATTTGTGTGTGTGTGTGTGTGTGTGTGTGTGTGTGTGTGTGTGTGAGTGAATGTGTGTGTGGTCTAGTTTAGGACTGAGCCTCCCCTGGGTCTGTTGCTGACTTTGTCTGGTCTTTGGGAGTTTGAACTCTTAGCTTTAGCCTTTTGGAACATGAGTCAGGAAGGTTCCAACAACAGCCAGCAGCTGTTAACTCCCTCTACAGGTGGATCCCATCCATCTTTGCAAATATTTTCTCCCTTCCCACACCCTGGAGGGACAGATTGCACATGGTAGGCACAGAATTCATTTTTGGTAGATACATATGCTCAATGTATAAACAAGCTTAAAACACATCGTCTCATTCCAGTAGGCTATATGTACGACTTTTCTCCCCATAGGTACTTTTCTTCCCTGCATTTAAAGCATTTGATGTTTTAACGAACAAATTCTGAAAGCTTTTTTAAAAATTAAATTTGATCGAGGAATGCATTCATTTTGTAAGACAAGTTACAAGCAAGCGTGGTTCCCATTTGTGCTCAAGTCAGCAAGGAGAAATGGCACAAGAATACAGAATAAAGGAAAAGCCGTGTCAACCCTTATGCGGGTAGAGGTCAGGGAGAGAACTTCTGTGTCACAGTCCCTGGGAGCTGGTAATCCTGTTCTCTGTCGTGCAGTACTACTACAGCATAAAGGACATCAGCATCGGTGGGCGGTGTGTTTGCAACGGCCACGCGGACGAATGCACTGCGGACAACCCTGAAAACCAGTAAGCGTGGCCAGCTCCCTCCTCACCTTGCTAGGAATAAGACTAGCTGTTGCAGTAGAGATGTGCACCCAGCTAGAGACTTTTAGGTTCTAGACTGGGAACTGGGCCCAGGTCCTCTAGAAGAAGAGCCAGTGAGTGCTCTTAACTGCTGAGCCATCTCTCCCGCCCCTGACTTCAAAATTATTTCATGTGAGGTTTCTACCACATTTGACAGTTCCCACCTCAAGATGGAATTGGCACCAATGGTGGGAATGCGTGTTAGGATCTTTCATGATTGGCATGTACTCAAACAGTCTTCAGTCTCATTTAAATTGTGCCGATAGGGAAGAATTCAGCAAGGACAATCTGGTGTGGAATGCTTGTGACATCTCTATGCATGAGCAGGAAACAAGCCTCTGCTTGAGATGGCCCAGAGACTTGATGGTGGACCCCCATTTTGGACAATCAGTGAAGTTAGTTCTAGACAGAATACAGTTTTAACCGCGAAGGTTTACCACCCGACCTCACTGTCCGGATAGTAGCAGGATCGCACTTTTGATTCTGGGCTTCTGAGCAGCCTGCTAAACAGGAGTCTGCTCACGTTCGTCTTTTGCTGGTCACAACCTAAACTGCTTAGGAGAAAAATGACAGTTGATATTAGGCGAGATAAGACCAGACTAGAGAGGCCACCCTGGAAAGGACTCTCTAATAGACTGGGTGGGAAGCATTTCTGCAGAAGATGCAAAGCCAAGTGCTACCTTATCTTTAGCCTAGACTGAGAATCAGTACAGCAGAGGCTTGATGATGCCAGTGCCGTCCAGGTGTGGGCCCACACATGCCAAGTATTTCACTGGTACTGAGCTGAAACTACCATCTCTAACACCACATAATCCAGACACTTGGGAGGTAGAATCAGCAGTAGAAGTTCAAGGTCTTCCTGAGCTATGTAGTGAGTTCAAGGTCAGTCTGGGATAAATGAGAACTAGTCTCCAACAAAATAAGACATCAAATCAATGCAAGCAAATGGCATTTCAAACTCAGGACGCCAAGGGAGGAGGTTTCCCTGAGTTTGAAGCTATACCTACAACCACTCCTTTCAATTATCAAACATGCTTTGCTTTCATGCTCAGGTTCCGATGCAAATGCCAGCACCACACCTGTGGGGAGACTTGCAATCGCTGCTGTGCTGGCTTCAATCAGAGGCTCTGGCGGCCAGCTGCTCTGGGGCAGCACAGCGAGTGTGAAGGTGAGTGGATGCTGACATTAAGGATGGTGGAGACTCCGAGATGTCCTATATGCTCCTCTATATACACGGTTATGAGAAAGTTGAATGTATACACTGGGCACAGTAAGAGATGAACAGCAACTAATAATAAAAGACACCAGATTGTGATGAACTGACCAGTATCACCATGTTTGCTCTTGTGAGCCTTTCTTAAGAAAGACAGGGTTATAGGAACCTGAGACGCATTCACATTGACCTTGCAAGCCGATCTCATCCCCAGCATGAATCCGGATGATTTTTGAGCTGGGAGTAACAGCCTTGCAAAGACAGCCTGCACCGTGCTGTTCTGCCAGCGTGGCACACAATTTGAAACATGAATTGTTAATTTTTGTGACTCTCAATTTAATATTTGTAGACTACAGTTAACTATGGGAAATGTAACCATTGACAAGAGGGAAGGAAACATCGGACTTAAGAGGAAAGTATAAGAAGAACAAAGAATTATTAAGTATATACTTGGTGCTTTCATGTATGGGTAAGGCTGATTGTTTTGACATGCTGGTCTCTCTTTTCAGCATTTGTGGGGTGTGATAGTGGATAGAGGGCCGAGGGCTGATGCGAGAGAGAGATGCGAGTATTGGCCGTGTTGAGAGTAGGTGCTGCCGTGGACTATTTCCTGTGGGAGGTAAAGGGGTCAGAGAGAATGAGGAGATAATGCAAAGCTGCCTTGATCACAGGTGTGTTAGAAAGTAAGGAAGTGATGGACCTGCCCCTCAACATCTGTATGAGTTATTTTTCCTGGTGCTGTGCTACAGTTACCAACAAAACCAACTTACAAAGTAACATCTTCTTAAACCTCCCTCCTTCCATCTGCATATTGGTAACTGTGTTCTCCCACGTCAAATTCTGAGACCTTATCGAGGAGCTACCATGAGCATTATAATTAGATAGTTTCAATCAGATACTTTAATGGTTGTGTTAGGCATACTTTGACTAGTCAAGATATTAATATTATTTAATTTTATGTCCTGATCTTTTTGATTATTTTTAATCTTTTTTTGATTTTTAAAAAGATAGTTTTGACATTCTTTCCCAGTCATTATGAATTATTTGGTGTCACTCTTGGTGGCATACAGAATGATCACAGTAGGAATGCAAGTTAATATGGCAGGGTTAGCTAAGTGCCACTCTGAGCCTAGGACCATGCTCCATCACAAACAAAATACGTGCAGCTCCATCTCCATAGGATTTATAGTCAGCCAGATGGATTGTTATTTGTCTATAGGTAGACATTAACCTAATTCTTGTTTTTCATTATTTCACATAGTCCTAAGATTGAAAGTTTAGACTTTTGAAATAAGGGATTTGGAATCAAGCAAAAACTGGACCAACTTCTGGCTCTCTTGTTTATGGGTTATATAGCTATGAATCTGTAACATGAGTGGGGGCCTGCTTGTTGGGGTTTTTGTCCTGCCCAGTACCGCACAACTGTTTAGCCCCAAAGAAAATCACACATAGTTCTCCATAAATTATAAGCTGATTGGCCCATTAGCTCTAGCCTCTCATTGGCTAACTGTCACATCTTGATTAACCCATTTTTCTGATCTATGTTAGCCATGTGGCTCAGTACCTTTTTCAGTGGGACAGATCATATCCTGCTGCTTCGGTGATCTGGGCAGGAGTGGGAGGAATCAACTTCCTCCTTTCCAGAATTCTCCTGTTCTCATTACATCATTTCTACTTCCTGTCTTGTTTTCTCGCTTATATTTTCTGCCTGGCCAATCAGCGTTTATTCAAACATGACTGACGGATTACAAACAATTCTCCCGCACCATGAATCATCTTGTAACCTTGTTCCACCTCAGTTTTCCTATCTGTGGTATGGGGATAATGGCACCTACCTTAGAAAGTAGATTAAATGCCACAAAACATATAAGTTTGTTTCATAATGAATAAAGAGCTGGGCAATAGTTTGCAGTGACTGTAGTCTGTGTACATAACTCTAATAGGCATTTTGATTCACCATTGTTCTATCTTTTAATAAAAGAGAAATGTTTCATTTACTGTCAAACCGGAGTCTATAAAGTACAGTCTTTTCTATAATAGCCTCTGTGTTAAAAATCTCCTGTAATTGTTCAAAGAGTGTCTCCAATGTTTCAGCACAGACTTTATTGTAAGCCACAGAGCAGAGATCCTGTTTGTGAACTTACTAAAAGCGGCACACTAATCTGACCAAGGATGCTTTCTCCCAGCTTGCAACTGCCACGGGCATGCCGTGGACTGTTACTACGACCCAGATGTGGAGCTACAGCAGGCGAGCTTGAACAGCAAAGGCACCTATGCCGGTGGGGGAGTCTGCATCGATTGCCAGGTGAGACACGCCTACAGCCATCACCCTGTATCAACCCTCTTGTCGCCATACATCTGGTTCAAATAGATTCATGTGGACAAAGCCGTCACCAGAACAGAGTAGGGGCGTGACCCACACTGTGTCACTGGGTGACCTTGAGGAAAGGACAAAAGCAACCCAACTGGGACAGTGAGGTCTTTCACGGATGGCTCTGAAACAGCTCAATTTTATGTGGAAAACTAAGCTCTCATCCCTACTCAAATCTATAAAATTGATCTGATATCAAACATGGAAGAATGAAGGTAGAGCTGTAAACTATAGAGAAAAACACTGGGTCCCGTATGATTCAGAAGGTGAGGAAACTTTCCTCAGAGGAAGCCACAATCACGGGAGATGAGGAAATCGGATTTCACTGAAATTAAACTTCTGACCGCTTCCACTGAAAATCACTCATGGGTGAGCTGCAGACAGGGAGAGCAAACTCACAAACCGGGAGTCCTTGATAGTCACTGGAGCCCAGTTATTGGGTTCCTCCACTGAAGTAATAAGCCAAATCAAACCAAATTAGTAAAACCAGATTTAATAAGTAGAACAGAGAAAAGCAACTCCCAGGTGACTCTCAGGAAGGCTGGAGAGAGAGCACCAGAGCAAGGGGCAGATCTGCTGGGGTGGGGCTCAAATGGCCTGTAGGCATCTGGGACAGTGTCTGGGAGGAACTACCCCTGGTGGATGGGAGCAGTGGGGTTGGGCGGAGCTTCCCAATGCTCCTAAGCTCTTAAATGAAGGCAGGTAACTCCCCCAACATACATACCATAACAAAACAGCCTCTTACAAATGTAAGTACATGAATGATTAATAAGCTGGCAATCAAGGGCTGAGCTGCTTCAGTCAGGAGGAAATATCAATCAAAATCACCAAATCGCCTCCACCTCTCACTGGGGCGGCAGTTATTAAAAAGCCTAGAAATTCAATTTCAGTGAGACGTGAGACAACTATACCTGCCATCCCCTCAACAGAAATGGTGTACCGTGGCTGCAGCAACCTATAAAATGCTGCGAAACATGCATCTTCCTACACTGTGATCAACCCACTCCCAGTTTATCTACAACAAACAGAAATGCTTTGGCTGTGAGCCAAGCCTTTAATGGCAGAGCCATCTCTCCAGTCCCAGAAATACTTGTTTTCCAATCGCCGCCAGCATCAGTGGTAAACTCAGCAGTCGTAGGACCGATGGACACATCCTTGCTCATCATTTCATAACAGAATACGAAGGGGCAAAGGAGACCTTGTCTGATGCTACATTGCAGCACTGAGGATCTTAGGGGCAGCACGGAAATAGAAAATCAGCTTCATAGAGGGCTCCTGTTGTGTGGCAGCCATTGGCACAGAATTCTTCAACACAAGTTATTAGAGGAAAATGTCAAAGTGTGATTAGCTCTAAGGAGCTGCAATGGTGGGGGGCTGACGGGGCAGGAACATGGGGATGTTCTGAGTGTCTTCTATACTGCAGTAAGAAATTGGGCTCTTATTCATGTGCATTGTCTGACATTGGCAAATTATGATTGAGAGTTTTGTATGTATAAAATATATTTTATAATAAGAACGAAAATCATAAGCACGTGTTAGACTCCAGTTATTAAGTCCGTGCTTAAATACTTGGTGGAAGGTGGTTGGCACTGTAGCACATGTAGCATGACAAGAAGTCATATGTTGGTGAACGGACAGAGGAGAGGCGGGGATGCTTATGTAGAAATAAGAACTCAAGTGGGATGTTTACTGTTTATGGGAATCTTTAGGTAGGGCTTGTATGACCATTCAGTGTGAAGACATCCAAAACAAATACTGAGGGAAAGAGGAGGCAGAAGTCTATATCACTGCCTGCGTCGGCTCCTCTTGGCCTCTGTTTCTTGTGGTAACACTGACATACTTAGTGAAGACTGGCGGTTACCCGGGTTATGGTGGGCATTGCTCAGAAGTACCCTATCCATGTTAACCAAATGACGTTGAACCTCTCCTATGAAGATAGGGCTAGCTCCCTAGTCCTTCACATCCATGGAGAGGTCAATGAAGTGTTTATCCCACTCTTCCCAAACCATCTGTGTTTCACATGAAACACACAAAAACATATGGGATGCAGACGCAGAACATATGGTTCCGTTCTGCCCCAAACCCGACCACGCACAGAAAAGATATTTTAAAAGCAAAATGCACTCTTTCTCCCGAGCTCATTATAAAGAGAAAATGAGGAAGATGGGCCATCTGAAAAGACTAACAATTCCAAAAAAATCGAGAAGAGAGCAAACATGAAACATACCTATTAGTATGGTACATACGGGGTACACGGCTTTGAATATCAGTGGCATGCAGGCCCAAGAGGTCACAAAAGGAGTTGATTGTGCAGCTGGAGTCAAACTCCTAACACTGCACTAAAGTTCATCAAACATAACCTGTGCTGAGCACGGTGTGTTCAGACTTGAAATACAATAAACATTTTAATTTTCTGAAGTCAGCCTATACATTCAGTGCAATTTTAATACTTTTGTGGAGATGGACAGGCAGATTATGGAATTACTGGCAGAGAACACAAGAATGGATAATTAGAAATAAGTAAATGTGGGACCCATCTTCAGAGGATCAGAACCACTGTGGATTTGTAGCTGGATATGGACTCGGAAAGGGGATTACAGTCTGCCAGAAACTAACAACCTAAACCAGCACCTGGGAATGGCACAATTTGATTTTAAATGTCATGTCATCCATAGTAGAAAATGTGGATATTTTGTAAGTGCTGGGATGCTTGGTTCTTTGGTGGAAAACTAACTGCATTTTATGCTATACATACAATAACACTGGTAGAAAAAGAGAGAAGGCCCACAGGGCTGGCCAGCTTGGTGATCAGGTTCGAGTTTGCTGGTAAAGAACGCATATTCTACAGCAAATTATGTCCCCTAGAAATTCAGTAATTGGGCTGCTTTCCACCATTTCTGTTCAGTGCCCATAAGTGGAAAGCAATGAATTATCATCTCAAAGCACACACGGACAGGCTGTTCCTAGACACTGTCACATACAGTCTCAGTGAAATGGGGTAACTCATAAAGAAGGCTCTGTCTTTACATGGCGGGAGGCAGAAGGATAAAAGGGCCGAATTCTGTGTCTCCTTTCTAGGGGCCTTAATCCACTCATGAAGGATAATCCTTTATGACTGGATCACTTCTTAAAGCCAGTGTCTCTTAACACTATTACCCTGACCATTGAATTTAAGGCTGGGTTTTGAAGAAGACCTAGTTGAGCTGCAGCAGATAGTTAGGACCACCAGCTCCCCAAATAACCACACAGAGATTTATTATTTATGAATGCTTTGCCAATAGCTTAGGGTCGTTACTATTTCTTACAACTTAAATTAATCCACAGTAAATTAATCCTTTTCCAGCATGGCATGTTCATGTCCTGCTCCCTTACTGGTGATTCTGCCCTCCTTCTTCCCAGTGTTCTCTCAGTCTGGCTCTCCTGTCTAACCTCTTTCTGGCTCTTTATTAAACCAATAAGAGCAACGCATCTTCGCAGTGTACAAAAGGATTATTCTACAGCAGATAGTAATGGTGACAGAGTTAGATTCTTGTCCTGAAGAGAAAGCAGTTACCAGAGGCACATATAGATCCTGTTGGTATTAGTTTATTTTATTCCTTGGGTTTCCCATTTTAACTACTGGGTTAGGGTATGAAATATTCTAAGGTGGCCACTTTCCTGAGTTGTGGTATCTGAGTAGATAAGGGCATGAGCTAGGTATCCTTTGGGGGTATTGAAGTAACAGAAGGACAAGAGGCATTTAGTAAGGAGCAAGATCCCAGGGTAGCTGGAAGAGAAATGAGTCAGGAGAAGGGCAGATAATTCTAGAGAGGCACAAAGCCTAGTTCATGTGGAACCTTGATAAGAAAATTCTTCCTGGGTTCTTCGAAGACAAGGTGACTAGTGATGGAGTCCACATGGAGTGGAGAGACAGAAGGTAATGGAGGAGGTGCGGCCGAGAAACTGAGTGCCAGAGGCGGAGAGTTAGGGTTTGCCTAAAGGTCAAAACATGTTTGAAAAGCTCCCTGTTGTGGAATTCAGACCCCAGACACCCAGATCAGGGCCTGGCTTCTAGGTGAGCATTCCATAGCGTGCCACCCGGACTGGGGACAGTTCTGTGTATAGAATTTTCTGGGTGATCACTAAGACTTGGAGTTACACTGCAAACCCCCATGAAGCAGGCAGACTCTGCTGGCAAGATGGCTTTCTGGATACTGGATAAAGGCTCTTGCGAATTTAAGCTTGAGGAGCTGGGTTCAATCCCTGGAGTCCATGGCAGAGGGAAAGAACCAACTCCCGAAAGTTGTCCTGTGTGTGCACCATGCTGCACACACACTCCCTTCCTCTGGGGGGAGCCAAAGCAGCCAGTAGGTGGAAGACAGGTCTTTTTCCCCTCCTCAGCTTGGGTCTCTGATTCTAGTTTAATGTTAAGCCCTGTGCAAACACAAGGTCAAACACCCACTCCTCCCAGCAGGACCTCTAGACCCCAGCGTAAGCCTGGGAAGCCACCCCGACTCTTGCGCTTTGACCTGCCTGTACTCGGTTCAGCCAGGACCCTGCTGTCCATAAATGCAATGGTGTGAGTTGCCCTCAGACTGTGGAGGACCTAGAGAAAACCATCCAAAACCGAGGCGTTATCCTATCTGTAGTGTTTCCTCTCTCAGTTCTTCGCTGCTATTTAAGCATGCGTTGAGGCAGAGAGGCAAGGCTGCCCCCCTCAGAGAACAGTTCTCGTGTCCTGCTCTAATTGGATTGCTAGCCAAGGTTAGCCATAGTAGCAAGCAGTGGGATGGAAGGGGATGGCATTTGATGGGAAGACTGGGTGGGCTACAGCTCTTTCTTATTTGCTTAGAAGCTTCCTGTGAGTGCTGGCAGGCTGGCCAGCATGGTTTTTGACTTTGGTGCTAAATTAGATTCAGATTTTTAGCCCACAGAACAAGAGTGGTAAAAACCAAGAGTCTGTGGTTAATAAAACCCCGCAGGGAGAGGACACAGACTGGCCTTTGTTCTCCCCAGGTTTCTGTGAAGGTTCCATGTGGTTCGTGTTGCTCATTCTTGTTGCTCTGCGTTTGCTGCCTTTTCCATAGTGACACTGCTCAGTGCTTTTCGGGTGAGAAGGAGACAGAATTGAGCTGTGGCATGTGTTTCTTGGAAACTGATCATGTGTACTGGGTAATTGGGTTTGTGGCAATTGTAAGAATTAACCGTGGACTAGAAAAAGCCACCCAGCTCAAAATTGAGCTCTGTGTATGAGCCTCGTGCTCTCATTGTCCATTCACACAATAATTCACATTGAAAACACAGATGCAGTCAGAAAGACCAGAGACAGAGATCTTTATATGCTTTCCTTCCCAAACTGGGAAAGATATTCCCCTGTGCCATCTCATCCTTTGAGCTAAAGCAGGACTATGAGTAGCCATCCCTGGCGCTTCTGAGCTGCAGGAAGTCTAGAAACTGCTCACAGCTAGAGGGACACTATTGTTTTTTCTTAATCAAGTGTCAAGTTCATTGAAATATTTTAATTTTTTTACATTGTTTGTTTGTTGAGGTAGGGTTTCTCGGCGTAAGAGCCCTGGCTGTCCTGGAACTCTCTTTATAGACCAGGCTGGCCTCAAACTCACAGAGATCTACCTGCCTCTGGCTCATATTATTTTAATTTTTAAATTTTTATTTACTTATTTGTTTGTTTGTTTATTTTTAGAGAGAGAAGCCAGGACTGTTAGTTTAATGAACCTTTCCACGTGTGTGGCGGGGATTTCAGGGACAAGGTGAAATCAGGGTCCTATGACACATTTTGGGTCCTGTGATACAGGGTCAGGATGTATGGTCTTAGGGACTTTGGAATTTCTGGCTTGTATGACAGAATTATTTCTGTGGCGGATTAGCACAAAGTAAAGAGCGCTGGGCTTCTCTGGCATCCTTTGAAGGGTCTGTCCTTGTTTCCCTAGCACAACACAGCAGGTGTGAACTGTGAGAAGTGTGCACAGGGTTTCTACCGGCCCTACGGAGTTCCAGTGGAGGCGCTCCATGGCTGCATCCGTAAGTATCATGTCAACTCTGTATATGACAGGCTGTGTGATTTACCCCAAGGGTGTCACAGGCTCGGGGGCCTGGACGGTCTTTGCTCCCTTGCCTTTGTAGTATTGCTTCTATTTCCTTCTAACTGAGTTATCTCAGGTAACTTCATATTTTCTCTGAGCCCAAGAATTCTAACATGTAAATAATCATGATAATACATATATTTCATAACAGTAGGTGAAAAGCTATCAAAAGTACCTAGTCGATCCCTTACTTGATTGAATCAGTCACCTATCAAGCCTGCAATAAATATTGCTTCTTCAGTTTTCTACTGGTTTGACATGTTTCTGTGATCTCCAATCATTTTTACTTTGTCATAATTAACATCAAACCAGCATAGTAACAAGTCCGCAAAGATTTAGTAATCATCGTAGCGTTTAACTTTAGTCGAGTGTTTGCTATGTACAGGAGATTGAGACCATGGCATCCTTGAGAAGTGTGGGCACAGTCGTGCCTTCTGAGCACAGCGAGGGGTGGGTCACGTAGTGATTCTTTTTCCTCTTAGCTTGCAGCTGTGGTCCGGAACGTGCATATGAGTGTGAGCAGGGCTCAGGCCGCTGTCACTGTAAGCCAAATTTCCAAGGAGACAACTGTGAGCTATGCGCAGATGGATACTATAACTTTCCATTTTGCTCGAGTAAGTATCCAGTATGGATGAGAATCTTCTTTCTGGCCCATAGCCAACCTGTGTGTGAGCAATGACGGACAGGGAGGGTGTGTGAGGGTCTAGAAAAAGGCCCAGGCAGGTTTTGTTTACATAAAAGCGTTTCCCAAGTTGCGAAGGCAAGCCTTAGAATTGTGTTTAGTGTGGTGTTATACAATAGACATTGCCATTTTATTAGGCCACTGGGCGTAGGCTCAAATACTGCAAAATTCAACTTGATCGTAATAGTTGAGTGTGACTTTGATAGACCTAGTGCATCATGCTTTGCAGGGTGGGGGTGTAAGAAGGTGTGTGTTCTCTCTTTCAGTGTCCAGGAGGGCAAGCTCTCCTCCCTCCTCCCTCCTCCCTCCTCCCTCCTCCCTCCCACAACGATCTGGATGAATATGTTAACATATTCATGTGTGTATATACATTTTATCTCAGAAGTGTGCTGGGAGCAGTGGGGAGCTGGGACCGACCTGTTGAGGGCTCCACACTGCAGTGTGCACCTGCTGTCCTAGAGTGATGATTTAAGCAGTGACTGCTTCACTAAGGAGACCTTCCTACTTTGGATAATCAAATGCATTTACAGGAAACAATGTCTGAAGCCAATGACTGTGTTTCAGGTGCTTACCCATATTGAATCTGTGCCTGGGATAGGCTCGCCAGAAATTGCTCTTGCCTTTTTAGTGGGGAAAAAATAAGAAGATGCTTTAATCACTTTTTTAATATAATAAACAAAAATTCAGGGAGAAAATTTAGAAGAAAACATTGTTTTAAAACTACTCTCAATTTTACTTAAATAAAGAGTAAAATTTCTGTTTAAAAAGAAACAATCCTAAATTCTATTCATACACAGCTATTCTTTGGGCATAGCTGTTTTGAATAATTTAGCAATCGTGAGCATAAAACGCCACCCGTTTCCGTTTGCTGATCTGCTAAGCAGCCTGGCTTCAGTTATGAGGCGTGTTGGCCACAGAGAGCGCAGGGCCTTTCTCTCAATCAGCCTCATGTGTAGCTTTTCACTCAGGGAGGGGCCTTCTTCCTGCTAAGTGCAGCTTGGCTGTTCATGCTACTATCTCATTAATCTGTGTTTTAAAATAAATTATTTTATAGGAATTCCAGTCTCTCCTGTTTATACTCTGAGTCTAGAAGACCCAATAGCTGGCAATATAAAAGGTAAGTAGCCTTTTTTTTTTTTTGGATTTAATGTCGATGAAAATATTATGTTCCATTCCTGTTTTGGTTCCTGAACACGTTGCCAAGTCCAGGTGAAGTTCTGGGGTACTGTGGGGCTTTGGCAGTTGTTTCCTGGCCATTCTCAGGCATATCTTTTGAAAGGACTCTGCCCATTCAGGGTGCTGGATAGAGCTTGGGTTATAGATTACTACTTTGCTCAAAATCCTTTCACAGTAGCCTTCCTGTCTACTGGGCCACCTGTTCCACCCACACGAACTTAGTGCAAGTGCTGTATCTGGGAGGTGATGCCAAGAAACAGCAGGGCAGGAGTGGGAAGGGCATTGAGGGAGCCTCTGCAAAGGGTCATTAGCCAGGCCTACTACGGTTCTGGGCTGCATCTCCCTGGACATTATCAGGAAACAAGCAGGACTCCTTGGGAATGAAGGCAGGGAGGGAATGACCTAGTGATCAGGACCTTGTGGAAAGCTGCTTCCACAGAGTGTCCAGCAGGAAGGCTAGGAGCACCACAGCCAGGAGCACAAGCCCTGGGTGGAGGGCAGCAGATGTGAGCATCCTTTGGGGTGGGGAGGTAAGTAGTAACTAGAGGATTTGGTACTGCACCTACCAAGTTTCCCTGCTACTAAAAAATACCAGTCTGGGTGCTAAAGGCTTAATAGTGCACAGAGAAACATTCCCGGCGTCTCTAGAACTTCTGTTTCTGTGGGGTTTGTTGGGATGGGGACTCAGAGCTCAAACAATAACACATGTATCAAGACAACATTTGTGTGTATGTATCTGCACACACACACATACACATAAAATTATGTTCTAATTGATGTGCTAGTTGGCTTCCTGTTGCTGGACCAAGTTGTTTGCAAAATCAGTTTCTGAGGAGGAAAATCTGTGCTTTGTTTGCTCTATTGCTTTGGGCACGTGGAGACAAAGCTCTGCATGACGGAAGTGCATAGTTGGGGGGGGGTATTCACTTCATGGCAGCCAGGAAGCAAGTAGGAAGAAAGGTGAGATCCAACATAGTCTTCGAGGGTGCCCACAGCAGGGATCCGCCAGCGTTTTCTTAAACATTCAGAAATTAACTGGAATGGAGCTCAGAGCTAGAGCCTTGGCAATACACAACTCTGATTTCTCTCACAAGAATGTTTAGATCTCCCATCTACAGCTTGTCTACAGCAACCTTTTTGTTATTCAAAAGAGGCTCATGGTGACTTCAGGAAAGGAAAGGTAACTGAACTTGGAGAGAAGTTCAGATAACTGCCACAAAATGCTAGGGAAATCCTGGATCACAGCCTAATGAAAAATAAACGTTAACACAGTTGAGTTTGAGAATTCAAAGATACAGTGATCCACCTCAGTTTGCTGGCTTATTAATTCATTTTAATTATTTATTTTTGTGTGTATTTGTCTGTTCCAATCTGTGTACATGTGTGTGGGATTTTGTGCATGCACGCAAGCATGCATGCATCCACGTGTGCATTGTGGAAGCCAGAGAGTGACAAAGGATATCTTTCTAAGCTTTTCAGCTTGTTTGTGAGACAAGGTCACCTGACGCTGTAGGTCACATTTTGGCCAGACTCACTGGCCAGCAGGAGCCTGGATCCCCTTATCTCCATCTCCCCAGCACCGGGAGTTAAGTAGATGCTTCTGTGCCCGGAGTTTTACATGGGTCCTGGGGGTCAAAGTCAGGCCCTCATGGGTGCGCAGCACATACTTTTCCATCTGATCTGCCTCTCCCTATTAATACATCCTAAAAACACTGAGCCTGGGACTTAGTTATTGCCAGAGCATATTAGAAGTGCTGATTTATAAACCACCAGCAGATACAGCGCACCAGAGGAAGCCGGCCTCCCTCCCACCCTGAGACCTATAGAAGATTCTGTGTTCTCAAGTAGAGTTTCTCTTAACTAAGCATGTGCTAAAAAACAAACAAACAAAAAGCAGTTTATTTTTTATTCCTGCCTGTCACCCAAGGTCTTAAAGTAGGCTTTCAGGGATGGAGACTGTCCTGACTCTGGACAGTTAGGGAGCACTGCCTCAGCCGGGAGGAGCTCCTGTCTAGAGGGTGTCAAGCTTCACTGTGAAGGATCACTGGGTGCTTCTTATTAGGGAGCACTGCCTCAGCCGGGAGGAACTCCTGTCTAGTGGGTGTCAAGCTTCACTGTGAAGGATCACTGCATGCTTCTCATTAGGGAGCACTTCTCAGCCAGGAGGAGCTCCTGTCTAGCAGGTGTCAAGCTTCACTGTGAAGGATCACTGCATTCTTCTCATTAGGGAGCACTTCTCAGCCAGGAGGAGCTCCTGTCTAGCAGGTGTCAAGCTTCTCTGTGAAGGATCAGATAGGAATGACTTCTGGGCTTTGGGGTTTGATAGATTCTGTCACATGTCCTCAACTGCTGTTGAGGGAGCCATAGCTAATATGCAAATGAAAGCATTGGGCAGTATTCCAATATAATCTATTTTTCTATAAACAGATATATTTGGCTCTCATACAAAAGTTTACAGACCCCCAGGACCACATCAGAGTCTCTGCCGTGCAATTCTACACCCAAGCTAAAGTATTGTACTAGAGACTCCCATATCCAGCCAAGATTGAGGCAATTAATCAGTCTCAAAACCCAGCCCTTCCTGTCCATGGGTGTTCTACCTCCTCTGTAGACTACTGAATATCAAAAATATATTTCTAAAAAAAGCATCTTGAGGGAAGTGCTTGCCACGCCAGCGGGAACATCTGAGTTTGGCTCCCCAGACTATGCGTAGAGCTGGATAGAGCAGCTCATATCCCACCATTCCTATGGTGAGACAGGAGGTGGAGACAATAGAATCTCGTGAAGCTCATAGGCCAGTGTGGCATATACAGAGATGTGGCTCTGTCCCCAAGAAGGTGGAAGGCAAACCCCAACATGAGATTTTCTTTTCTTTCTTTTTTTTTAATTTATTTATTTATTAAGGATTTCTGCCTCGTCCCCACAACCGCTTCCCATTTCCCTCCCCCTCCCCCGATCAAGTCCCCCTCCCTCATCTGCTCGAAGAGCAATCAGGGTTCCCTGACCTGTGGGAAGCCCAAGGACCACCCACCTCTATCCAGGTCTCCTAAGGTGAGCATTCAAACTGCCTAGGCTCCCACAAAGCCAGTATGTGCAGTAGGATCAAAAACCCACTGCAATTGTTCTTGAATTCTCAGTATTCCTCATTGTCCGCTATGTTCAGCTAGTCCGGATTTATCCCAACCAACATGAGATTTTCCTTTGATCCCACACATAGAGTGGCATATATAAACCATCCCGCACTACATGCATACATGTTATACACACAAGTTCCCATGAAAATGTTATAAGAATGCATTCACAGTGTACAGATAGAATTCTTGCCAGTTTTAATGCTGTATAAAAGCATATTGTGTTAAGTATTATAAATCTTGCTATGATTAAAGTATATGGAAATACACACGTAGGTTATGTTCAAAGGTTTTGTATACTGTGTCATTTGAGAACTTGGGCATCTGGGGGTTTTAAGCCCATAGGGGGAGGGAGTCCATGGAGTCCCCCATCAGTGCTAAGTAACGACTGTACTGGGTGAGGAGTCCTGACTCTGAAGGACAGACTCTAACTGGACAAATGGCCATGCGGACTCGACTGCTTTTAGTTTCTCTCCTTATCTCATAACTGGATATGATTAGGATTTAGATGGCGGGATCAGCTAGACACATCCACCTGAGCATCATTCGTAGAAAGCAGATGTGTCCTAGACACATCTTTAAGGGATCCCCTTGGAATGTATGCTCAAGGACATTAGACTGCCATGTGCAGGTCCCTCTAGTCCTCCAAGTTAAATTGCAGTGAGAAGGAAAACCCACAGGATGCAGCACCCAGGAGTCTAATTTATCAGGGATGCTGAGGAGATCTCGGCTGATTCTCTAGAGCAGCTCGTCAGGTCTGCAAACAGGCCAGCCCTGATTCATTACAGGATCGGAGTTCCTGAAAAGATTGTGGAAAGGTTTGCAATCCCCCACCCACTGTGTAAGGAAGAACTGCTTGCTTTTGTCAAGGTCCTAGCTCAAGCCAGGGCCTGGGGGCCAGCAGATGTGTGAAACTCGGAATGCCCCAAAAGGTCTGGGTAATGAGCTCTGGTGCATGCTTTTTGGGGTGGGGGCTCTTTAGGATGGGATTCACCTGGCAGGTGAGTGGGGCCATCACTGAGGGCGTGGAGCTTGACCGATGTGGCTTAGACCACATCGTGCTTGACCAATGGGCAAGCAGGTTATGATAGCTCCTTCGGGAGGCTCCGCTGATAAAATAGAGCTAAGAATGGTGTTTACTGAAGAGAATTGAGGCTTGGTTCAGTCTTGGCTCATCTTTGATGAAGTGCCTACGCTGTGCTACATGCTGCCCACTTCAGTCCCTGCTCCTGGGAGCTCCCAGTCCACGGGAGATGGACAGTTAGAGGGGCAGGGAAGAACCCAGAGCTAAGGGAGCAAGGGGAAGGTTATCCCTGATGGAAGAATGGGTGAGAGGAGGCAGGGAAGGAAGGAGGTAGGTGGGTAGGAAGTCTGGCTTCCCCAGAACAGGAATAGAGGAATTTGGGATGAGTCTTGGAGCATAAAGAGCAATTAGCTAAGCAGAGAAGAAGAAACATTGAAGAAAGGTATGGCGGGTAGGAGAGGGGATGGCAGGAAGATTGTTGGACTGGACTGTGGAGAGGGAGGAAGTTCCAGTGAGTGGGATGGGGTGGACTCTGAGAGAGTGAGGAAAAGATCTGATTGGACAGCCTGGTTTAAACATGCAAGTTTGCAGTACACAGCCAGGCCTTGCAGAGTGGTACCCTCACCATGAACAAGCACCATGATCTGCATATCTGTGATAATCTCACTATAATCTGCATAACTGTGATAATCTCACTTGAGGAGTGTGCATCCTTATCTAATTTGCATGAAGGATCATGTGTCCTGCTGTGGTCTGGAAGGACTTTGGATTGTGTCCTGAGGCATT